AAAAAAACATTCATATCTTGTCTGACATCTTTGCTACAAACTCGGGTCTTCAACTCAGGCTTTCAATTAAAGACCCGAGTTGTAGACCTGAGTTTGTAGCAGCGATGTCAGACAAGATATGAATGTTTTTTTGGGCTCAAATGAAAGAGCGGGTCGAGAAATGACGTGCAAGAGCCTCTAAACATGACAAACGAACGCCCACCTGACATTTTTAATACACTCACACCATGAATTTAAAGGGAATACTGCACAAAGAATGAATGTCATCCAGAATTTATTTCTCGTCAATAACTTATGATAATAAATTTCCTGTCACCGACTGATAGAACTCAATAGTTAATTAGTTAATTCAATACTCCGGCCCGAAGAGACTCTGAAAAAAATCACGTATTTAAATGTGACGAACATTCTCTTACGAGGATCGGAGGAAGACTGATTTATCGGAGTATTTTCTAAACGTCAGTTGACTAAAACAAGAAGAAACAAGAATATTTTTGCAGCTGTCCCCTTCGAATTTTCTTGGAATTGAAAATTCGCAGAAATAATCCAAATAAATATCTCTCATACTTGGAGTATTAGTGTTTTGTGTGTTTTTGTTTTCCTTTCTATGTACCAATACATGAGTAGAGGTCGTTTTATCTGAGAAAAATGACGGATTGATGAGCATTCAGAGGACGTCGAGCGTCCCACCCATTTTCGCGCGTCGCGCATCCTCCTGCGCCCACCTGGTGGACCATATTTCAGCAACGGATTGATGGATTTTGATTTAAAAAAATGATAATTATTTATTACACAAAAAGAAACAACTTTTGTTATGAACATTTTCTTCTATTTGCCAATGATTCCCATAAATAGAAAAAATCATCAAAAAAACCACTTAATTTGTTTATAACTATTAATTTATTAAAAAATACCACCGGATTCGGATTTCTCATACCCGAAAACATAAGAAAACACCTCAAAACCTTACCGCACTAGAAGTGCACACGGGAAGGGGGTATTGCGTGTGGACTATTATTCGAATTTTCAATAAAAAAATGAATTTTTAACGACGAAATCGCTTGAAATTTCACTGGAACAATCGTTTGATAGAATTTTACAAAAAGCCTATCGGAAATTTTAGCCAAAAGGTCAAATATTTCATGGAATTTTCAATTTATCTAGGAAATTTTGGGTCCAAGTTCCTTTCATTCGCCGCAAAAAGTGGGAAAGAATGACATTTGTTGTTATAATTTTTGCACAGTAAGAAGACAATTGGAATTTCGTGGATAGTTTCGTAATTTTCAGGAGAAGGACATAGAATTCGATTTCGGGAGAAAAAATCATGAAATTTCAAATTTATAAAGAGGTGGAAGACATAAATTCCTGAACTCATTTGTATTTTAAATCAAAACATGAAATTTGAATTAAAAAATTTGCTCAAATTCTATCAATTTCCATTAATTTTTTTACCAAATTAAAAAAATCTTGAAGAAGTATCAGAAATGTCAAACAGTTGTGAATGTTATTTTGGGGGTTTTTGTTTAAATTAAAAACGTACCTATCAAAAATTTCAAAATAACTTCATTAACCATTTCCGGCTTTTCCTGATGAGGAAAATGTTGGGCGCCGGTGATAACTTTGATGTTAAACCTCGCGACGAGGTCAGAGCTTTGAATGACACTCTCCAAGGAGACTGAGGGATCCGCATTACCGACTATCAACAGAGTCTGATTGCTGATGGGCTCGATGGAGTAGAGCCGCATGAAAGGCAGGTTTCGATAGTAATTTATCGGCCCAGTCCAATCCTCTGGTGATGAAAGAGAAACACTGATTCGTTCCATTTCCAATTTACGGTATCATTTCCACAGTTAGTATCAGTGGTTCAAGTTGATGAAATGTCGATACTCATTGCAAAATGAAAGTAATGATTATGAAATGACGATGTTTTTCGTCAAATCATGTACGAAAAAAATTCAGAGAAATAACCAGTGAATTCGCCAGACAATTCTATTGAATTTCCAATAAAATTTTCATGAAAATGCGCTAAGTTTTTCTATTAGTTTTTTTTCTCACGTAATATTCAGGCTTTTATGGGCTCATAATGCACAAATGTTGAATTTCCTCAAACCAATGATTGCAATTAAAATTTTCATCGTCCGATTTATAATTACCTGTTCGGCTGAAAGCGTATTTGTACGCTTCAACATAATTCTTTTCACTCGTTGTCTGATTAATCTTCAGGTGAGTGAACGTATCATTGATGATAGATAAATCTTCCTTAAGTGCATCTATTTCAGGTAGAAATGGAAGTCTACTGAAGTGCATCCATCTGAGGAGGAGCAATAAATTACTCAAAATCATTCAAAATTAATTAGAATTAATTTCGATGAAAATTGCAAGAAGTTTCCGCATACTTATCATCAAAGGTATTGCGACCCATCCCGCTCCAGTAGTAATTCGGATGTGGACTGGATATCGCGACAAATTTATAAATAATTTCACTGTGTAAAGCTGCCATGTACCACCCCAAGAGCCCGCCAAGATCATGACCAATTATACTGCACTGATTCACCCCGAATGTTAAAATAAATTGGTGCAGTTCATCGATTAAAACGTCTATCTTGTAGCATTTCGTGTGGGTGGGCTTGTCGCTGTCGCCGAAGCCCTTCAGGTCTAGGGCCACAACCCTAGAGAATTAAAAAGCTGTAAATGGCTGAATGGTGAATTTAAAAATTCAGCCTCAATGCTCGGACGAATTGTGATATAATGATGTCGACACACATTTTCTGCGGAGAATTACGTTATACACGAAAATTGGTCTTTCCACGTATGAAAAGTTCAATAGAAAACCTAGCGAAATCGCTAGAAAATTCTGTTGGAATTCTATAGGAATTGTATGGGGTTTCTATAGGATTTGTATTGTAATTCTATTGAAATATTCTATTTGTTTTTTGCGCTGATTCTATTGGATATTCGATAAGGAAAAGTCAATACATTTCAAAATTCTGTTTGAATTTTTTTCTTAGATTTTTTCTATTCGAATTATTGGGCAGAAATTTTCAAAGTTTTTTCCACTCGGACTCTGCAATGCAAAACAAAACGAAATCTAGCGGAAAAAAAATTAGAAAATTGTGCCCAATAATTCGAAATCTATTAACTGTTTCTTATTGAATATCCAATAAAATCGGCGCAAAAACAAATAGAATTTTTCAATAAAACTCTAATAGAAATACTATTAAAACCTCATAGAATTCCAATAGAATTTTCTAGCGAATTCGCCAGGTTTTCTATTGAATTTTTTCATGCGTGTCTCCATATCAAATAGGGAACTTGCAAGAAGCCCAATTCTTTCTAATTCCCCTATGCACACATTCCTCATAACATATGGATAGCTAACGGCGAAAATTATGGAGAAATATTAATGAGCAATATTTCGAAAGTTTGTGAATGAAAAATGAATTATTCAGGTTCTAAACTTGACATTGGAAAATTGAAAAAAATTCATGCAAGTTCCCTATTAGACTCATTACAACTACAGTCATAGTAATTGACCTGTAATGCTCCGATAAAACCGGTATTTGCTCCCTCCAAGACAGCCAGCAATCAGGAAAGCCGTGCAACAGCAGAACAAGGGGTTTATCTTTCTCACCAGCCTCCACATAGTGGAATTTAATGCCCTGTAAAAATTATCAGTCTAATAAATTGCCTCTGGAGCTCTCTAATCATCAATACCCTCTCGCTGTTAAGTAATACTTCAAAAAAAAAATTCTACAAATTCCTCATGACAATTTATACCCCACACAGAGAGGAAGTTGAAAAAAAATGTTTGGAAACTCTCGATAAATTTTGAAAGGCTAAACGAAAGGCAATCATGGAGCGAAATGTTTTGCATTTAAAAATAATGTTCTTGGAGGATATTTTATGATTTGTTCAGTAAAAAAAATGTACAGCACAATTTTTGTAACACACTGTGAAAAATTTTTGGCTGAAATTTTTGGTTCTCTTTTTAGAAATTTTCATCACATTTTAGTTTCGCTGAAATTTCAAGGAATTTCGCTGGTAAAAATTCAAAAGTTTGTGGAAAAATCAATGAAAACTGTAAAATTCAGGTAAATTATTCCCTGAAAATTAGTAGAAATAACGAAAATTCTGGGAACTGTATACTTGAATTTTTAATTAATTAATTTTAATTCGTTACAGAAGAAGAAAAATTCCTAGACATTGAGTAATCATTCATGTTTGTTGATATAATATTTTATGCAATGCCGGAAAAATTTCACAATTTGAGGACAAATAAATTAGAACTGAATTCCGCTCCACGATCACCTGATTCGTTTGGCAATTTCATCCCAAAGAACTTGTCTCTCCGTGCAAAAACACTGAAACCACAACAAAAACATCTCCGATTTAATTTTCAATTTATGATATTGATATTGACATTGGAAACGTCACGATCACCCGAGCGAAGATACTGCGCCCACCAAAATCTCCCCAGAACAATAATGTCTTATCGTCGAGTTCAAAAGTGTCTCGAAATCGGAAAAAAATACTCTTGATTGCAAGTCCAATTGCATGTTGAAAAATCTGTTAAAAATTACCTTCGAATTTTATTAATTGCCATTTCAGTAAAATAGCAATTAATAAAATCAAGCGATAAATCAATATATTTTTTATTGCCTGAAGGCAATTTTACTAAAATTTATATTAAAAAATACAATACTTCTTGAAGTTCCAATATTTTTAGTGAAAATTCCACAAAAATATTCCATTGTTATGGTCAACTTTAAATTACTTTCTCCTGAAGGAAGACTATACTAAAGAAAATTAAATCGATAGATAACATTAACAAATTTGGAAAATCAATAAGACAAATTAGCTAGGGTATTCAATAAAATTCCAAATACGGGAAATTAATTCGCGTGAATAATTAAAAACAATAGTCCAATTTATTGTTAAACGTTGTGTCAATATAAATTCGATTCTCTCATTCATCTTGTCCTTGAAATAAGAAACGAAATAGTATTAACGAAATAATATTATCAATAAAATTTTCAACAACAAAAATTAAACAACGATGTTAAGGTAATTTTTAATGTCATTGTTTCATGATTTTACAGAAATTTTGGGGTAATTTTACGGCTGAAAAAATTTAATAGAAAAACCTATCCAATTCGTTAGAAAATTCTATTGAATTTCTAATGAACTGTTCTATTAGTTTTTGTCCGATTCTATTAAAATGTTCAGTAGAAAAAGTCAATAGAATTTAATTTTTCTATATAACTTATTCTATTGAGATATTTTCTATAGAATTTCCTCGGCTCAAATTTTCTAAGTTTTTTCGTTTGATTTTCTTGATGAAAAGAAAGGAAAAATGAAAAAAACTTGGAAAATTAAAGTCGAGCAAATATTCTATAGAAAATATATGAAAAGAATAAGTTATATAGAAAAATCGAATTCTGTCGACTTTTTTCATTGAATGTTTTCTATTGAACATGTCAATACAATCAGCCAAAAACTAATAAGAAGCTTAGTAGAAATTTAATAGAATTTTCTAACGAATTCGATAGGTTTTTCTATTAACTTTTTCCGTACGTGTTCATCTGGAAATCGAAAAAAAGTAACTTACCTTCAATTTCACATAGGAGTGTTTTCCAAGGCTGTTATCAACAAGAAAGGGAGGCGGTTTATCCCTCTTGACCATTCCGAAGAACTTCTTGGGGTCCCATGCCCACTTGAAAAGCCTCACAATAATCAAATAAACTCCGAAGATAAACGACAGCACGTGAAGTTTAAACTTTTCCCATAGGGAAACTGGAACGATCCTCACTGTCATGATCCCACGTTTTTGAAATGTGGCAGGGTTTCACTACAGTTCGATGGACCACAGCGAGTTAAATCCGACACAATACGGACTTGGACTACCTGACCCTCAAATATTCGAGTTCAAGAAGTCGCGTTTGGGGACCAAACTGATGGTTAACGTCGCGATAACAGAGATTCACAATTATTTTTCTGTTCTAGGGGAACTGTTAGGAGTTTTATGGGTACACGAAGAGAAAAGTTCGAACGAAAATTCACCAGGAAATCTAGGTAATCGGAGAGTGAAATGAAATTCAGCAATTTTTATTTGAAATTGAGAGAAAAAATGTGAGGGAAAGGATAAATTTTTCCTTCTGTTATGTAATTTTTTGCAGACGAACTGTAAAATTTGTGAACTGTTGGTGAAAAGGAAAAAAGAGAGATAAAGTGCACGAATATTGTTAGAAAAAATTTGAAATTTCACAGAGATTTGATTAGTAAGTTAGTTTTTAGGAGACTGACATTTCAGTTTAATTTCAATAATGTAATTCATAGAAATTTCAGTGGAACTACAAAATTTCCAAGAAGAGTGCCGGAAATTTCTGGCAAAGATTTTAAGAATGTACGTTGAAATTATAATTTTACACTGTTTCATAATTTATTTGGTAAACTAATACCGATCGCCGCCATAACTCAGGGTCATCATTATTTTTGTGTCTTAGGGGAACTATTATTAGTGTTATAAGTGCACAGAGGGAAAATTTCGGACAAATTAATTAATAAATTTTTCCTTTTACAACGTAATTTTCCAGAAATGAACTGCAAAATTTATGCTGTTGGTGAAGGAGTGCCCGAAAGACAAATCCATATGTTCAACAGATTATTACTCTACACTATTTAGTAATTTGGTAAACTAATATTGAACGTCGCAATAACTCAGATTCACGCTAGGTAATCAAAGAGTGAAATGAATATCAGAAATTCTCAGTTGATATCAAGAGAAAAAATGTGACGCAAATGACAAACTTTCCCTACAGTAACGCCATTTTTCCCCAAAAAACAGTAAAATTTGTACTAAACATACTGAATTATTAGTATTATGAATACACAGAGAGAGCAGTTCGGGTAAATATTACCAAAGAATCTAGGTAATCGAAGAGTGAAATGGATTTCAGGAATTCTCATTTGAAATCAAAAGAGAAAATGTGACACAAATGGCAAATTTTCCCTTTTGTGTGCTGTTTGTGAAAAAGTACCCGAAACAGCGACAAATCCCCCCGTATTTTCATCAAATTATTACTCTACACTCGGGTAATTCTTCACTGCTGTTTGCTGGTAATTTTTCGTTGATTTTTCCCCAGTGTATTATTCGGTGTTCATTCACGCGGGATTAGGTGAGGTCGTTGCTCTATTATGAAAATCACCGCGTGCAGCTAGTTTTTCTCGATGAAGAGACTCAGCTGATCACTACTATTACACTGATTTCATAATGTTTTCTGACACGTCTGGCGGAAACTGTGACGGAGTCATCAATGGGGAATGCCTCGGATTTTCTGACTCATCGTGACAGGAAGGATTCGCTTTAATTATGGATCAACGACGTGGGGTTTGTGAGCGATCATTGGAGAGGATTTTTCAATCTTCGATGAGGGAATACTCATGGCTGTGGGGGTCGGGGGTGATCCGGAGGGAAAGGGTTTGGTATTTTTCAATGGAGTTGAGGGAGAGGTTTTAGGTGATTCAACACTCTTTAGTCACTGAGGAACTAACGTTAACGCTTCAACGATAGTCTCGTCCAGGCTGTGGACTGTGACCCTGTCACGTATAGATTCGTGTTGTCTGATGGTGTTATCGCGATACGTCGAGTGATATTGATAAACTGAGTGGCTTTGAACTTCGGATCATGTGATTGTGGGGGGAAATTTGAAGTTATGTACGTGGAGATTTTTTTGTAACATTTGTTTTGGAATTTTTAGTTGAGTTGGAGATTTCATTCGAGTGCAAAAAATGAAAAATTGCACATTCATTTTTTGAAGAACATTGGTGAAGGAATTGACGGGGAAAATTTTCGATGAGCAGGAGATAGATAAGGATATCTAGATCGTAGACTGTTAAGAATTCGTAGACTGTTAATAAAAATTTCCACTGGAATTTTAAGAGATTTTGTAATTCAAAATTTATAATTTGATGAAAAACGATAGAAACTGGGAATTTTAATTCAATTATTCCATAAAAATTGATAGAAATCAGGAAAATTCAAGTGACTGAATTCTTAAATTCTCAATTGAAGGGGATTTTCTTTAATGAGCGAGAGATAAACAATGAGCTCTAGATCCTAGACTGTTAGGAATTTTTGCTGAAATTTCCGGAGCGAACTTTTTATTAACAGATATTTCTACTGGAATTTCAAGAAATTTTGTATTTCAAGATTTATAATTTGATGAAAAGGGCTAGAAACTGTGAATTTTAATTTAATTATTTCATAAAAATCAGAAAAATTCTGGTGACTATATTCTTAAATTTTTAATTGCAGGTGAAATTTTTTTTATGGGTAAGAAATAAGAGATGATTTCTAGATTCTAGACTGTTGAGAATTTCCGCTGAAATTTCCGGTTGGAAAGTTTTATTAGGAGATATTTATATTGGAATTTCACGGAAGTTTATAATTCAAGATTTATAATTTAATGAAAAACGTTAGAAACTAAATTTTAATTCAATTATTTCATAAAGATTGATGAAAATCAGAACAATTCGGGTGAATCCTAACAACGAGAATACTCTCCGTCAACTAATGTAAATAAAAGTTGAGTTAATCAATTGTATAAACAGCACAAAACGACATACCATATGCACATTACCCAAAAAATATTACTCTCCCTAGTGGACAAATATCACGGATACATTCAGGAAAGATCGATGAGACGGGTTGATGCAAAAAGCCCATGGCACATATGGAGAATGTGGGATATTAGATGACAAAGGATGGAAGACAGACGAGAATATTTCATTACAGCGGTTGTTATGTGAATTGGAAAATCGAGTTACAATGTCATTCTGCTGGCTGTATTACAGGATAAATTGCCATTCGTTTTTCCTCCACTGGATCGTTTGTAAGTTGGAATGCCCCCGGGGCACTGTGAAATCCTCTTTGAGTGCTCATCAGGCTCTCGGTGGATTACATTTTTGATTGGGGCTCGATATTGATGGCTTCAATTCCGGGTTTGAATCAAATTTCGATGGATATGAAATGCGAATTGATGAACTTTCTCTTTTTTTTATTTTCATTTTTAAATTGTGAGCTTATGAGACAGTGGATATTCAGAATCCTTCAATATCGATAGTCGATAACGGCCCGACGAAACATGAATTGTCAATGATCAGAAAAAATTGAATGGAGGACCTATTTAGCGAATAAATTCACGTAGAATAACGGAAGAAGTAATTTTCAAAGGGGAAAAAAAAATCGTGGGGAAAAAAAAATTGGCAGCGGTGGGATTCGAACCCACGCCTCCGAAGAGACTGGTGCCTTAAACCAGCGCCTTAGACCGCTCGGCCACGCTACCGGAATGTTAAGTTTTCACTAATAGAACTTATATCAATCTAACTTAATATATTTTTAAAACACGAAATTTTAATTTATGCTTTCTTCATTTTTTTTCTCTGTGTGAAGTGTCAAAGTGCGACGTATAATGTTTAAATAATAAAATCATTACAGCCCTACGGGGCTAGCGCACTGCGGAGGTGGGCAGGCTTAGCTTTGGGAAGCTAAAGTAGCTCTGAGTGTGGTCACTAGATGGATGGGTGACCGCGCGGGAACACCTCAGGAAAGAAATATTTTTTGGAAAAACTGGAAAGAGCATTTGGGAAAAACAAATATGCGGAAAAAACGGGATAAAGGAATGAGAAACCGTAAAAACCGAAAGGTAAACGCTGAAATGGAATAAATAAATAAAGTAATAAAATCATTACAAAATGTTTGTCAACTTAGACGCAGAGACGATTCGTTTAATGGGAAAGAGTGAATTTATTCCATTTAAATAAATAGCTCGTAATAAAAGTTTCGTCCAAACTTAAAGTTGATTATTTGCATTGTTACTCTGTCGACAGAGACTTTATTTTTTTATTATTATTATTAACAGAGACTTTATTAGTCAAAAAATCTAATCATTTTTTAAACAGGAAACAGAACGAATTTATCGATATGGAATAATCAATAGATAATAATGATTTAGATTAAATAAATTGTTTATTGGGTAATAGGATAGCATTGATATATAATAAAAAATTTATTCCATAGTATTGGAACATTTTCGTTTAAATAAATTCACGTACATGAGTTTATTAATCTCTACAAAATATATTGTTGAGATAAATGAAGAAAATTGTAAGTATTGAAATTTATTTGAATTAAATCCATCGAATTTCAACCAAAAATTGGTGAAGACCTATATTTTTAGCGAAAATCATCATCAGCATTTGAATTCTCGTATCTCAATTTGCATTGACATTATTACTGATTTTCAGGATAATGTCCCTCATTTCCCGGAACCCATCTCTAATTTTCAAGGATCTGTCACCAAATTTCAGGGTTACGCAGGAAAAACGAATGTCTGAACTTCAAACACCTTCTGTAGATATTTTTCAGACACTAAAAAACGTCCGAATAAAATAACAATTCGTCTGAATTTCAAACACGAATTGAGATGTTTAAGCGCCTGTTCGCCTGAAATTCAGACAAATTTTCATTTTATTCTGACGTTTTTGTGTCTGAAAAAAGTCTACAAAAGGTGTGGAAATTCACCTATAATTCACCAATAATTACTGATAAATATCTCAAAATCAGTGACCTATCCCCGGAAATCAGTCTCATATTCCTGAAAATCAGTCTCTTTCCCTCCGAGATCCCAACGTTTCCTTACGCAGAAAAAAAAATCGACAACCCCCGATCATCGATCAACCGACATTAGTTTGTCGGTCACATGTCATTGGGCGTTGGTGTAGTGTCTGGCAGGATTAAATAAAGAGCCGGCGATACTTCACTCTCCGTTCCCCGGGCGGAGCTTTCGATCGCTCACACTCTCGTCTCGTCGGAGAGAAATTCAGGCGCTTGCGCCACCGTCTTCCAACACACCCATTCAATTTTACCCCCCGGCCCTTGTGCAAACTCGAATATATTTCAACTCGTGTCACGTAATCGGAGAACGTGCAGAGTACGGAGTGAGTGAATATATATCCCCGTGATGTATACATTTTTTTTCTCATCCCCTTCGACACTCACCAGCTTCTGGGGATCTCCGTGCATCCGACGGCCATTTTGTTGCAACTTAATATTCTTGGGGGATATTTCGCCACGTGATAACGAGTTGTATCGCAAATTACTGGACCTACGTTGATTATTCCGCGGGTATTGCTGGTGGGAATTAGTAATTATACTGATGGGATAATTGAGCTGGGTCTCGTTATATTGAAATGAGATACTTATTTTGCAGCAATTGGTTAAATGGGAGTGGAGTGAAGACATTTTGACATGATTTTATTTTTCGAATTTTTAAGGTCTCAGTTTCTCAGGTTTTTCAGATTGAATTGAATCCAAGGGAATGATTCGTTTGAAGTAAATGAATTGTTCAGTCCATTTATTTCAGTGGCAAAGCCATTGCTCAGTTTTCAATGAATGTCTCGAAATCTAAGGGAGACAGCAAAATTGTTATCATTACCTTTTTTGTAGAGTGATTTGAGGGCTACAGAAACGGTCATGATAAAATTTTCGTTATCTCC